TCTCACACTCACTCACTCACTCCCTTTCTCTCTCACTCTCTCACTCACTCTCACACCCACTCACTCACTCACTCTCTCTCTCACACTCACTCACTCACTCACTCTCTCACTCACTCTCTCACTCTCACTCACTCACTCACTCTCTCTCTCACTCTCTCACTCACTCTCACACTCACTCACTCACTCACTCACACTCTCTCTCACTCTCTCTCTCACTCACTCTCTCACACTCACTCACTCACTCACTCTCTCTCTCACTCACTCACTCTCTCTCTCACTCTCTCACTCACTCTCACACTCACTCACTCACTCACTCACTCTCTCACACTCATTCACTCTCTCACTCTCTCACTCTCTCTCTCACTCACTCTCTTACTCACTCTCTCATTCACTCACGCTCTCACTAAAAAATAAAATAAAATAAAAAACATATTAATAGTTGAATCTATGTGCCAGACTTTGGATGTTTCTTGATCATATTTATTTGATTTAAATTTGATAAATTCTTCCTACTGTAAAACCTAATATTAATTGAATAGGCAATTTTATTTTATACTATAGGGTTGATATTCAAATATACCCATTGATGGTTTTGTTTCTGATTTATGGTTGCAACGAAAATTAAAACTGGGGTTTAAAGAGACCTAAATGTGCAACCTTTATTTTTGGAAAGATAACTGTGTTAATTCATTTTATTCTCATTCAAATAGATGATTTTATCATTAAAAAATTCTATCCTCGATTACTTTTAGCTCTGAGTTGCCCAGAAGGGAAGGAATATCAGCCTTGTGTGAAACCATGTGAAGCAAGAACATGTCTAAACAAGTGGTTTTATGATCACTCCTCATGCTTGAACTTAAGAGAAGACTGTGTGTGCAAAACTGGGACTGTTCTTCACAGGCCAGAGTCATCTGAGTGCATTCCAGAGGAAAAATGTGGTAAGCCATTGTCAACCCATCAGTCTCCAGCAAACAAACAAAACAACTTTTGACCTTAGGAAGGTGGTCTGAGAAAGACTGGTCAAATTGATCTTGGTGTGGGAAAGGACATGAGCCCATTTGTTCTTGGTTTCAATTTAATACGATTTTATTTGAAGTAGGTTCTTTCTTTGTGGTGATGTGCTTTAATTGATACTTCCACATATAAAGGAGACTTGGCAGCCCTGTGGGTTAAGTGTTGGACTGCTACCTGAAAGGCTGGTGGTTCAAACCCACTAGCCACTCCACAGGCTAAAGATAAGGCTGTCTACCTCCAGAAAGATATACGATACCAGAAACCCTAAAGAGCAGTTCTACTATATCCTACAAGGTCACCGTGACTTGGATTAGACAAAATGGCAGTAGATTTAGTTTGGATATATGTGATAATGGGGAGAGAGTCTGCTGTGTTAAGAAATAAATGGTTTGTGGACTGAATTTAGATCCCCGTCTCTTATGTAACCTGTCTGAGAGTCAAATGAATCATCTGTGAATGAGGAAAATAGAAGCACGTCTCCCATTGGGAAGTGGTGGCTGGCGCACGTGGCTGCTAACCGAAGGGCTGGTCTTCCAAGCCTCAGCTGCTCCAGAGGAGAAGGATGTGGCCGCGGCGTCCCTACGACTTGGCAGCCTGGGCTCTGCAGGCAGTTGGGGTGTGTCTTCAGGGTGGTCGTGGCTGGATGTCATTCGACAGCAGTGAGCTTTTTGGTTTGAGAGCTCATAAAGCTATTGGGGGTATAAATAAAGTAATCACTAAGATTTGACATTTAGCACCGTGCCTGGAGAAAACTAAGTACTCAAGAAATGGAAGATAGGATTCATATCTGAGGAAAATGTGTACCACGTCTACTTTCATTTTCAAACTATTGCAGATTGTCTCGATGATGATGATAGATGAAAAAAGAACAAAACTGAGAACATTGTAGCTTGCTATTTTCCTCGATCTAGGGCTCACCCCGCTCAGAATCATGGTCAGCCACAAAAAGAATTTACTCACAATGGGAGGAAAAGGCTATGGCAGGGACGTGTACTATGTTTTCAGGTACAAGCTCGTGCTTCCAAAGGGAACAGCATCTGTCGAAGAAAGACTTTGAGAATACACAGAGGTGCTTATATTTGCTTAGAATTCATGAACATTAGTTTCTTTAAAACCTGTGAGATGGTTTCCTAATAATTAGGATCATATAAGAGAAGCTCATTAGAGGTTGGGGATGTGGTTGACCTCTGTATTTATCTCTCTTTCCAAAAAGAACTACCAGAGGGCTATATTTAACACAATAGTGAAACTTTTATAATTAAACTAACAGGACACTAAACGTTTTCTTTAATGGCCTGCTTTCCCCTTTTGAATTTTTAAATGGAAATGTTTTGAATATTCATGGCAAAAATGTTAGTCTGATACAGGAACTACCTTATTAGCTAGAAGTAATTATTTCTAATGCCCAGTATTTTAATTCAGATTTAAATTTACCATACGGAGTCAGTTTTAACTAATGGGAATTTTATTTAAAAGCTGAAATGTATCACAAATAGTGAACAAAGTATCTTAGTTATAGGAGAAGATGTACACATTTATAAATATGGATGGGAACAAAATCTTTTCAGCAGGCCTAATGAAAATTTCCATTAAAGAAAAAATATAAATTAGTGGTGTTTGGAAAACAGAGGAAGCTGAGAAGACCAGATATGCAACCTAGCATCTCTTTCACCATCTGACATCAAAACATTGAGCTTGTTTTATTTAAGTGCCCAGGTGACATAACTGTGACATAATTGTCAATCTTCCTAAGTGTGTACTGATATTGAAGATCACCCTCGTGCTGCTGGGGAAGTTTGGAATGGAGGTATTGACGAATGCTCTCTGTACCAGTGTTTGGAGAATGGAAGCATTATTCCTATAGAGTCTGTGTGTGATGAAGCGTCCTCACCGCTTTGTGAGCGAGAAGGTGAAGTTGTCCTGGGCGTCGTTGACAAATGGACTTGCTGCGCAGGAGAAGTTTGTGGTAAGTTATCGTGCTGATGCCTTACAGTTAGCAAATTCACCACAGGTTAATAGCCTCTGTTAACAAGGAGGACATGAATGAAGCTTGTTATAAATAATAATAATAAAAAAACCAATGTAAAGACTGAGCAACAATTTAAGTGCTGCCATAAACATCACACATTTCAGAAGCAAAATTTTTATTCATTACAGTGCTGTTGACTTTGTCAATATGTATGAAAAAATATGGGTATTGGCAATGGATAATATTTATCAATACATGAAAAGAGAAAGGACTGGAGAATTTGACTTAGAGCAATTGAGAGTGAAAGACATGCTTAAGCTTACATCGGTTGCCCTTTCACATAAGCTCTATTTTGTGAGCTGAGTGAACTTAATTACAATGTGACAATGTTTATTGTTAGAATGATTACCAGGCTTTGAGTTAGCAACATAAGATTTTTGTTATGGTGATTGATATTTTAATTTTTCTTTTTTTTTGATTTCCAGGATGTGATATGACTTTGTGTGACACTACCATTCCAACATGTACAAGTAGTCAACAACTGATTGTTGGCTACAGCCCTCTTTCTTGCTGCCCACAGTACCAATGTGGTGAGTATTAACAAGGGGAAATTGGAGTGAGTTTAATTGTCCATTCAGAACAGTGACTAAAGGTTCATTTCTTGTGGCTCTAGGAAAATGATTTATTATGGTAATCTGTGCTAAATATAGTTTGTTTTGCAACCTTTATCTCCCTTTTCTCTATATATGTATATATAATCTGTTATTTCATACATATTTCTGCTAAGATTAAAGTCTTTAAAAATCTAAAGATAAATAAACAATGCACACTATTTAAAGTTTCAAACATCTTTGTGCTTCTGCAGAATGTGACCTAGACAAATGTCCTATTATTCCAATACCAGAATGTAGAGAAGACCAATTCCTGCTTCAAGTTCAACAAGGAGAGCCTTGTTGTTTCTCCCCTCTCTGTGGTGAGTGCTCTAGGAGGTGATTTCTGAGTGGAAAGGGGGAAAATCTCTTACTTCCTATGAATTTGATGGGATTAATGAACTGCAAATGACTTTCTACAAGGATGATGATTGTCACCATTGTCATTTCTTTCCCTTCATCTTTCTTTCCATGAAAAATACATATCCTTGTACCCGATCCGAGAAAATATCATCAAGTTTTTATTACCTTAGTAAGGCCAATGACTAGTTTCTTTTTGGAGAAAATATAACCGTGGCTTCCAGACAGGCTAATGGGATTTTCTAAAACACTGTAGGACCTCTTTAGGTTTTCAGTTCCCCTGTGTCCCGTGTGCACCGTGGTGACCTTGAAAGAGAATGGTACCTGCAAATAAATCGTGTCTGTGAGATGCCTGTACATGAGCTCCGTATTCTCTGTAATGAGCTGAACATTAAAAAATGGCAGCTTTGTCCATTTCCATTTCAAATAGATTTCACATCAAAGATCATGTAGTGATCAATGTAAGTTTCAGATGCACCTATGCTACTTCCCTTGGGCACTGATTATGCATCTATGTAAAATGAAACTCAAAAATTCTAATATTGTATTCACTGAAAGTCAAAACAAATCTCTTCATATTAGTTAAGGTTCTTTGGCTGCAAGTGGCAGACACGGATGGATTCTGGCTAGTTTACGGACAACCCATTCTTGGCAGCATTGGGGAAGTACGCAGGGTCAACAGGAAGCAGGACAGCCGGCCTGGGAAAGGGGAGACGCCGGCTCGAGCATTCATTAATGAATGGCTCCATTCCTTGCATTTTCTGCTTTGGTGTGCCTCTGCTCGTGATTGCAGTTCCATGGAAGGAGATCTGATTAGTCTAATTTGGGCCATATTCCTACAGAGTTGCCCGCTGAGGACGAGGCATTGTTGTCCTAATACCCAAATAGGAAGATCTCGCACAGTTCTGCTTTCCATGTTTCCCATTTTATTAAATTTGTGTATGGCACAATAATCTAATAATAACTAATAATAACTAATAATCAATTAGTATTTAGCTCAACTATGCTTTTTTGTTTGTTTGTTTGTTGGCTGTTAGTTTGTGACCCTTGTACTGAACCTATTCCATTATGTACTGATGGGGAATTTATCACCGTGGATCTTAATACTACGCAATTCTGTTGTCCTCAGTATTACTGTGGTAAGTGTGTTTTAACTAAATAAAACACTAGTCTTGTCATAGGTTTAAAAAGCCCACTGTACTTGAGGTGTACTATAATACTAGACCTTAATTAAAGTCTAATATGTGAAAGTATGTATTAAATACATGTAGTAATTTTACATATCTAGGAGCTCTTCTCAGAAAATATAATTGCCTCCCCAAAATAAGTTAGCTGTGGTTTTTCTCATCTTTGAGTAATTTCTAGATGTTCAGATGATTGCACACCCTTTTGACTTCCTCTCTCTCCTCGCACCTGTCATTTTCCAACAGCCTCCTTGGTTTCGCTCTGAGACTCACTTGTTCAGTCTGCCCTAAAGCACACCAGTCAGATCCTAGAAGAGTTGGCCCTGGGAAGATATGAGTCAATGTGCTACTTCAATAAGCTTGATAATGAAAATGGTTGGAGTTAATTATTGAAGTTAATCTTTATTTACCCTTGTAATCTTTCTATTTAGTTTGTGAACCAAATCTTTGCCCTATTCCTCTACTCAACTGTGCAGAAGATATGAGTCTAGTGAAAGAAAATGTGTCTGGCCAATGTTGTCCAATATGGCATTGTGGTAATGAACTTTCATATTTTAAAATTTTATAAAAATTATGTTAATATTTTAAAAATCTGCCTAAATATATTTATGTTTCCTTTTTAGAATGTAGCTGTGAAAATCTTGTTATACCAACTTGTAAAGTGGTAAGAATAAATGCTTTCATTTACTTGTTATATTATTGTTATAGCAGATTTGCCCAGTGTAATGTATTCTTTGATTTCTTGACTGCTGCCCCAATAGACGTTGATTGTGGATCTAAGTACAATGAAACTTGACAAGTCTTATATTATATTCATTTATCATGACATTGATTAGTGGTCCAGTTGTGAGGATTTTTGTTCTATTTTTGTGGCATTTGAAGGTTACAGTCCTTGATCTTCGTCAGTCAGTGCTTTGAATCATCTTACTTGTCAGCAACAAAGCTGTGTTCAATGCATTTCACAGGGTGTTAGTCTGCTCCTCCTGATGCCTCTAAATTTTTCGTCATATGTCCCGGCTTTTCAGATCATCTACTCATCAAAATGATTGAATGCAAAGAAGAACGTTCCACAGATAGAAACGATACACAACCTTCTCATTTTAAACCATGCACTGTCCCCTTGTTCTGTTCTAATAACTGCACAAAAAGTCAATGGAGGGGGTCATGTCTGACCTCCTCTGGCTTTTCTGTTGCCACCGGACAGAGTTCAGACCAGCATCCCTTATTTACCTATTCTGATACCAGTCATTCCCATACCATTGTATATTCACACTGAGTTCTAGAGTTCAGAACTTACAGACACTACTCACAATTAAGCAGGTGTTTCAGGGAAGTTACCCGCAGTCTGGATCAGCACGCAGTAAGGATATCGTCATTAGTTTCCTCCGCAGCAGCAAGTCCCTCTCCCTTTCTCAGCTCTATGGTAGCCAAGTTTCTCTCCAGTTCGTAGTCCCTCAGCCACATGATCCTTTACCCTCACAGGCCAGGAAGTCAGCCTGCCTGCCACTCTGTCCCACAGTTCCATAATCCCTGGTCAGATAAGGGGACAGCACCCCAGAGTCTTGGCGCTGCTCCTCTGAGTCTCCATGCCAGCTTATGATCCATCTGATCTTGGTGGCCTCTGCCGCTTCATACAGAGACCTGGAATGTGCTCATTCGAGGTCCTTGGGTTTCTCTTTTCTCTGCCACTGCTAAAAAATTGGCTCATCCTCATAGTCAGGGAGCGGCCACTAATCCTCTCTAGTAGTGTTCCACACTTCCTCTTTGCATAGTCTCCTCAATCAGCTAGTGGGAGTTACAGAGACTTAGTTAGAAGAACCACATTAGAAATTTCACTCCACCACAAACTGCTTCTTAGTCTAGTTCTGTCAGAGTACCATGAAGTGTTCTGGAATTCCCATTCTTTACAATATTATCTATAATATGTCATAATCCATAAAGTCAAATGCTTTCATCTTTGTTGTTTGGTCCTTACTTTGCCAAACATATTTTTGGGAAGTTTTTCAGCAAAATATATATATATATATATATAATATAAAAATATTTTTATTTAAAAATATATAAATATAATATAAAAGTATATATATATATATATATATACACACACATACACACACATACACATACTCTCTGGCAGTTAAAAACTTTTGTAGAATTTCCCAGAATCTAGGATAAAGTATAGGTATCTACTTCTGCAGTCGCTTTCCCTGAATCGTTCCAGTACCCACAATGGGGAAGTATTGACCACTTTGCGTAACACTGGAATGTGGTCCATAAAACAAACATCATTGCAAAACAAAATGAAGAAAGAAAAGGCCCAAATGGAGGTCAGGAAATACTACACAATCTTCTCTTGAATAGAGGGTCGTGGAAGTGAATGGAAGCCATGATGAAGTAAAAGAGCTGAAGAGAAGATATCAAAGGGCAACTTGGAAATACAAATTATTATAATGAAGTGTGCAAAGACCAGGAGTTGAAAAATGCAAAGGGTTTCTACAGCTGAAAGAGCTGGAAAATAAATTAAAAGTTTGATTTGCAACAACAAAGGATTCTGTGGGCAGACTATTGAATGATGGAGCAAGCATCAAAAGAAGATGGAAGGAATCTAGAGTAACTTTAGGGGAAAAATAGTAGACATTTCAGGGAGTAGCATATGACCAACAATTGATGGTACTGAAGGAAGACATCAGGCTGCGATGGATTATCTACTGAGGTGTTTCGAAGGACAGAAGAAACACTGGTACAATTACGTTTCCATGACAAGGCATTTGGATGACATTTGCCTAGCCAATCAACTGGAGGAGATTCAGATGAGGGGAAGTCAGAAAGAAGTGCTGCTAGTGTTCAGCTCATAGACTCATGGGTTTATTTCAAACAAAAAGTGTTTGAATGGGTCTTTCTGGCCAGCAGATGACTGCAGGGAAGTTCTCACAGCATTACATGTACTTTAGTCTTGGTAGGGTGCCTTCAAAAACAGTCCAATGAAAATAGTGGCTTCCCAGAGGCTCTGCTGGGCCAGGTAAATTTCAGCACAAAACATTCACAGTTAAAGGGGAATTTTCATATATTTTTGCAAAGGACACAAAATGATCACAAGGGCTGTTTATGAAGTCTGTGTTAGGCCAGGTTGTCTAGAGAAACAAATCCAGTGACACTCATCTATGTATAAGAAAGAGCTTTAAAGCAAGAATTAATTATATATCCAGCCCAATCCAACCCAAGTCCACAAATCTGATGTTGGTCAGTAAGTTCCTCTTTGGACTAATGTAGCCACATGCTGGTCACACAGAATGGTAAACGGGCAAGTAGGGAGAGTCCAGGCTGATGGCTACAGGGTCACGTGGATCCAAGTCAGTGGAAGCATGGCAGGATGTTGACAGGTCTTGGGGTCAGGTGGCCCATGTGGGGACATCCCCTGAAAGCAGACACAGAGTTCTAGTGAAGTCCCAGCAAGGAAGAAGGGGGAGTGTGAGAGAGAGGGAGAGAGAGAAAGAGAGAGAGAGAGAGATCATCTCTGTTAGTCTTGCTCTTATACAAAAGTCTTATGACATCAAGAGGGTGTCATCAGGCTGTGACTTGATTGAAAGGTCAATCAAGCCCTCACCAGGAGTGTCGCGTTGACATACTCCCTAACTGAAAAATGAAAACTATGTGGATGAGAAAAAGACCAGAAAAGTTGAGCCTAGGAATTGTTTTTCATGAAGACAAGGCACTTGCTTATTCTTTAAGGGTGGCAAAGGCTGTCATATGAAAATTCATTGGGAAGCCTTACTGTTTATCATACAGCTGATCTTGCTCCTCAAGCTTCTTTTAGTTCCCCAAACTCAAAGAGCACGGAAGAGGAATATGACTTGCATCCCTTCAGAATGCCCCAAGAGTGGCTAGAGAGCTGGGAGCAAGGCCTTCCTGTCTATAGACCTAGAGGGATATGTCAAGAAACAATACTTTTACATTTTGAGGTTTTCTTAAAATGAAATATTCTGTGATTTTGTAGCAATAATTATAAATTTATCCTCCAATTTGTGCTTCTTCCTAAGAAAGGTGATCTAATGAAATAGGGGAATGATTCAACAATATCATTAGTATCACACATATGTAAATTTTTGCTGACAATAACTAAAAAATAGTTGCAGCAGGGCATCAATGTGGACCTTCTAGAAATTCAAACCAGGTTCAGAAGGGGACATGGCAAGAGAGACACCAAGGCTGATGTCAGATGGATCTTGGGTAGAAGCAGGGAATCGGAGAAAGATCTTCACCTGTGTTTTACTAACTAGACTAAGTTTAAAGCTGTATTCTGGGGGAATAAATGAGGTAGTTGTGAAAGCAATAAAACTCCTTTTTGGATGCCATTGCTTCATTTAAAAATCATTCATTCAGCAGTGTTCTAATGATGAGTTAATATCACCGAAGATTTAGATAAAATGTTTGAGCTTTTAAAATATTTCCCCCCAAAATTCCCTCATTTGATTTTCTCCAAGGATGACTATCTTTTGTTGGCAGTGGTGATTTTAACACTTGCTTTGGTAACCACCTTTCTGTCTGTCCTTTTTTTTTGTCCTCCCAATGGGTTGAACCACTCTCCACTTTTCTGTGTTCCTCCTCACCAACCTTTGTCCTAGATGCTGGCCCATTTGGTTAAGTCCAGCTCAACTTTCAATATCTGAATAGTCAGTATGAATCAAATTTTGACATTACTCAAATTATGAAGCTTCTGATGAATAAACACTTATTATATGACTGGCTTTCTGGCTAAGCACAAAAACACAAGTACTATTTTAAATATCTTTGAATATTTTGTCTAAATACATGCCTGCATGTGATTTCACATGTTTGCTGATTTAATTTTACATTTCTGTGTCCACACAAGTATAGATCATACCCCTTACTCCTAAGCACGCACCCTGAATTCTTTCAGTACACTAAGCAACAACAGCAGAACAAAATAACACTGTCTTTTTCCACAAAGACAACAAACAGCATGAAGAGTTTCTTGGGCCTTTGCAATGTTGTTGTTGTTTTAGAACAGCAGCTCTATTGACATAGAATTCCCTTTTCAGGCATTTGACCCATTTAAATTATGTAATTCAGTGACTTTTCGGAGCTTCACAAAGTTGTGCAGCAACCACTGCAATCATTTAAAATCCTAAATAAGAGTCCTGCACTGTGACTACCCATATCCCACAACTTCTGTTCCTGGAAACCCTTATCTACGTTCTGCCTCCACGGGCTTTCCTAAGGTAGACATTTCAAGTAACAAAATACAATGTGCGATAGATTGTGACAGGACTCTTTCACTTCACATAATATTTTCAAGATTTTGCCATGTCAGCACATGCATCAGGTCTACACTCCTTTTTCATTTTTGAGTTATATTCTATTGTAGAGCTATATTTAGACATTTCTCCAAAGAAGATATAAAAAGGTTCAACAAGCACATGAAAAGTTCCTCAACTTTATTAGTATTGAGGGAAATTCAAATTAAAACTACATCAATACCCCTCACATTCACTAGAATGACTGTAATTCAGACAGGTCGTAACACTAGTCGGCAAGGATGGGGAGAAATTGGCACCCATGAAACCTGGTGGTGGTCATGTCAAACAGTGTGACTTTGGGAAAAACAGCCTGGCAGTTTAATTGAAAGAAATATTAATGATGGAGTTAACATGTGGTCCAGTAGTTCTAACCATAAGAAATTAATACATTTGCCTGCATAGAAACTCATACAAAAATAAATGCTCTCATAGCAGCATTGCTCATAGGAGCCAAAAATGGAAAATGCATAAGGGAGCAGATTAATCTATTGTTACAGATTCTGAAAGAGCCCTGCTCACTGTGGAGAGAAAAGAATACCATCATTATTTGATGTAATAATAACTATTAATCAATAATAAGTAAAGAGTTATTTCTTCCATGTGCAATGGTGCATTTAAGAATACAATTGTAACTGATATGAGTAATCTCTCCAAGGGCACCAGTACAAGAGGGTGGAATAGAGAATTTGAGTGTAAGCTCGAAAGGACACAGTGGGTTTTAGGACTTTATCTCTTATACAGCAGGTGGTATAGCCCTAGATGATTAGTATAAGCCTACATTCACCTCTCTCTCTCTGTGTCTCTGTCTCTCTCTACCTACCTACCCACCTATCATGTATTTATTTGATTTTAGTTTATGCACAGGGAGAATTTGATATTATCATTGTTTAACTCCATAAACCTGAAGTTTTATTTCAACTTCACTAGAATTGTGTAATCACTAAAAGACATAAAAAAAAAAACTTCAAATGAGTCAATGTTTATGAAACTAAAACTTGGAAATGACTATGAAAAGATAAACATTAGCTTATCGGGAAAACTGTCTTTTAAAGATTACTATAAATTTATTTGAATCAATTATTGTGTCAAGAATTAAATTCATTTTATTACTGATACTTTATGAGGAAATTAAAACATCCAAGAAAACTTGATACTTTAATTATCATCTTGGAAGCTTTAAAAGTGGCCTTAGGTTTATCGAGGAGCCCTGGTGGCACAGTGGCTATGTAATGAGCTTCTAACCACAAAATCAGCAGTTCAAATCCACCAGCCTCTCATGGGAGAATGATGAGGCTGTCTTAAAGATTTACAGATTAAGAAACTCAAAGAGGCACCTCTGCCATATCCTCTAGGGTCACTGTGAGTCACCTCAGTGGCAGTGTTGTTAAGTTTAGGTCTGTATAAAAATATATTTTAGTGACCATTTTTGTTACTTGCCATTGAGTTCTTTGCAACTCAACGATCCCATATGTGCAGAACAGTTTCTTATGTTCCCAAGGGTTGACCTTTCTTTTTTTTTTTAATTGTTTTATTAGGGGCTCATACAACTCTTATCACAATCCATACATACATCAATTGTGTAAAGCACATTTGT